GTGCAATGAAATTGATACTAGTTGATCACCAGCATCAGAGGAATTTATGCGCCCAATATACGTGAAAATATGAAGAACAAAATTAATAATGCATTACGCAAGGTTATTACAGATATATTTCTTTGCCATTGAAAAAGGAATTTCAAAATGAACGTTAAGTGCAAGGAAACAATAATAACAAAATACATTTCAAATGAACGACGTAGAGCCAGCGATTAATTTAAAACATTCAAATAAATAATATATTCACAACAAACCCTTAGTTTCTACGAATTCAGTATTTCAGCTGATAAAATCAATTATATAATTAAAAAAAATTCTTTTCGTTGCTGCGCAGCAGTTGCACGTCCATTTCTCAAGACAAATAAGGATCTGAATAAAGTTGTTATATTGGCTTATCTTGGCCTGAATAAATAACTAACTAGGGAGTTTAAATATGAGGCTGAGCAGGGGCAGACTTCGTGAAAAAGCAGCAAAGGTCGCACACGACGAATTCCGTCGCTGTCGAGACAGGTTAACGCGGCGAAGTGTTACTGTATTGGAAGAACGTGCACCACTTGTACGAGATAAGGAAACACTAGAATGCAGAGCTGCTAAAAACTTCAACTTCATTTATGCCTGAAGAAGCAAGCTTCAAGTGGCCAAGCGCCCCCACGAGTAAGCACTCGATAGTCTGATGGATAAGCCATCGACGGAGGGACAGTTAGCGAAGAAAAATATGACAATAATTGATCAATGCAAATATTGCAAGAAAAATACGCGGAATTCTGAGAGAACGAATAAATTCTGGCGGAATATCGCTGAAAAATAGAAGACTCCAGAGAACAATTCCAACCACTAAATCCACCAAAAAATGAATATAACTAAGTTTTGACCTTTACAAAAAATTTCAAAACAAAGTTTGAAGCTTGGTGGTTGAAAATGGTAAATTTCAAATCAACTGAAAGAGCTAACCAACAAGCAGTTCACTGCGATAAAACTAACCATCATTTCGCTGTCTGCCCACATCTGCATGATTTCAAGATGAGCAAATTGCCCCTTTCATCGAGAAATGGCGTCCAGTTTTATCTCTGATCATTGGTTGCATGTTAAAGGCGATTCAAAATGATCCGCTCTTCTGTTTCCGCTCAAATTCACGTGGCCACCGAATCGTTTGATCAATCAGGGACAAAAACTCGATGCTGACAGCGTGCCAGCAGCGGCACCGCCACGGCCATCATCGAATCGATGTCGCTGTTCAACCGAAAACTTGTAATCTTAACGTACAAGAGCGACGCATAGCGCATGTACTGCAAACGACACAAGTTCAAGCAAACATAACTTGAGGTGAGGAAAAATCATTTGGGCGTACATTACACGCCTTAATCACCTTTTCGATAGAGTTGCAGAAATATTCTCATGACGCTGCGGATAACTATTCCGAATTGTTATCGTTTTGAGCAGGTCAATGGTAAAATAACAAGGACTGATATTTATATATTTAAACTATAAATTAGCATGAGTAACGATACAGAGGCAGTCCGTAGTTTGCCACCAATACGGGTCGTACATATTACACTAGCAAAAATATCTCTTTCAACAAAGATATTAGAATATTTTTATGTGTTAAAGCTATATTAGAAATTGGATACAGTAGCATGTAGAGAGGTCAATCGTACGTAAAGAAATTCATGAAACAACTAACAGATATGTTATCTTGCCCAGAACCGCAGTGGTATATGCGATAAAATGTATACATAATTCAATCTGAACATCAAGTAATCGAGTACTAACGTGGAAATATCAAAGTTTCAAAAGCATGATTTGAACCAATAAATGACGCAACCGAATCTAGTAACGACAAACCCAGAGGTATGGATTTTTGTCGGGGATTCTTTGACCCATTCCCTTCTGGCAGGCAGAGTTCGGCATTAATTCAGGGTCTAATGCTGAGGTAGGAGAGTGAAGTGCTCTGCAAACCTCTCCTCGAGCGACAGGGTCTAAGCCATATCCGGCAGAAGGCTTCACCTCGTCTCTCTAGTGATCCAAGCCTTCATTGCTCCAGGGGATGAATCTAGAAGTCACCGTGATTATCTCGAGCTGCGAGTGATTAAAGGTCTTAAGATTTCCTGCCGTAGCCATGATGACATTCCCGATATACCTGAAGTCTTAGAAAAGACGTACCATATGAGACGAGTAACATGTGGTCTTATATGATGGCGCAGACCCATTGGTGTCATATGATGCCACGACGCAATGTGCTGCCGTATAATGAATGATACAACGCCATGTGGTATGATTTGATGATAATATTTGATTGCGCTCACACATATTTCCAATAAAACCAAGTTTTTTTAAATGATCTAGTCATAAGTTCACAGTTTTCAAAAGGCATTTTAATTTCGAAAATATTACGATTATGGAGCAAATTCTGAGCAGTGCTAAACCGAAGGGAAATGATAATGTTAAATATAATTAGCATATTCTCAGCGCATGTAACACTGACAGCGGGGCAAATTTCTCCATCTATCATAGAGAGCGAAGCACGAACACCGTAAAAAAATGCCACTTATGTTTAACAAAAAAATAGTTAACATGACTCATGATAAAAATATAAGTGTTGGAAAATGACAAGCTTTGCTGAAAGCCGATAAATATCGTAACGTTTACCATAGATATTACCCAGATAAGGACAATGTTTTAATTTTTAATGTTATCAGCGTAAAGTTTACAGGGAGATTTTAATGTTGGTATGAACTTCTTAAGAAACATATAAAATTGTTACTTCCACACCTAACTTTAATTTAAAAAATAATAAAAAAATTGTCAATATCCGGATAAGGTGTCTGATAAATGCAACAAAAATTACCTTCAATGCAATCCAGCATTACGTTATCCTTTAAAATTGGTCTTATATGTCAAGAATAAGCCCAGTGAAATGCAATCATTGATTTTGATAAATAAATTGACAGATAATTCGACAATTTAAAGACAGTCCCCGGAACATTCTGGGCTTTATTACATCCAGTCTTGGGATTCATTTCGCTCGCTCAAACCTTTGATGTCGCTCCCTGAAAAATATGGCACATCCCTGAAAATCACATAATGGATTCCAGACGCCAGGGAAATTCCATGTTCTACTAGAGGGAAAAGTTAAGGTTGATATGAAAAATTAACTTCATCCTAGAATTGCCCGGTGAAAAAGTTTGATGCATTTTGAAACAAGTGGAGATTGCCAAATGTGTTTTGGCTGGCCTAGAACTTAGGTTAGATATATGCAGTTGGCTTATATTCAGGATTGAAGGCTTTGTGTCCATATTATTTCGGTTCAGAAAGCCTTACATTCTTATAAATTTGATATAATGTGAGCTTATGATGTACCACGAAATCCTCATGTTCTAACCTAAAAGTGATATTATAGAATTTATATGATATTCTACATACAGTTTTATATTGAATATATCTGGACGGCAATCTAAAGTATTTAATTACTATAATAATTATAATTTAATTTAATAATTAGTACTACCATACGGTGTAGAGGTGCCTAGCTCTTCAGCAAAAGTTTTTCGCATCTTTAGATGAGTTTCGGTATGCCCTGGCAAATATTTTACCATCAAATGCAGCTGAACAAAATATTATGAGAAAACTAAGTCCTTTTGCTAGTTCACGAATAAGCTCACCACGAGATAAATTGTATTAGAAAAATAACAGATATCAGAGTTATTATTGTTCAAGGAAAATATGTGCTCAAAAGAATTTAATTGGCTGATAAACGCTATTTATGATTAAAATCGTCATTTCTACGGCTTGAAAATAGGAGCATATATTAATTTGGAGTTGAATTATATACTAGAAGCATTTATTTTAGGATTAGCTTGATAAATATAATAATTTCAATAAATAAATTAATAATAGGTATCATTAAGTGCACGGCTAAGTGTATTTCAGTATGTGCTTAACAAATAAAATGAGGTCTTAGCAACTTTGCACAGAATGTTCTATCAATGAAAGATCACGCATGTATGAGTGTAGCCGCGTATTTCGTATTGAAAATTTTCATGAAAAAGCATGAGCGAATAAGACAAAACACGAGATTGTTGTTCATCATAAACAAGGCAGAACTTATTTATAAAGAACGAGTAATGATGGCACGAGTGAGGCGGCCGTGATGGAAGGAAACGAGACTCGTGTGGTCGCAGAGAGAGAATTCGGCGGCTCCGAGGAACGATGGCCGCGCGTCCGATAGAGCTCCAAATGTGAGAAGTTAGATTGAAGTCAAATTACATTGACGCGCCTCACGTTAATGTAGGCATGACTTAAAGGGCGTCAAACTCAGGGATGCACCAAATGACTGGAGGATAGCGCAGCGCAGCTAGAGTTCGACTTCCTCGCTCTCGACTTCGAGACTTTCAGCAAACTTTAGCGTTCACTGCAATGATGCCACAATTGACTGAAAAAAGTGTCTAAATTTCACGCGAATATATCCGCAAGAGAAACATTAATCAAGTTCTAGGCAATAATGGCCGAGCTTGACAACAATAAATGGTTTCTTAAAGATGCGAAGTTTCTCAGGGCAAAAATATGTTGCAAACGGAGAAGGAGTTCCGATTTTTTACTTTGTTTAGCGCATTAATGATTATATAATCAAGATTATTTAATCTGTCTAAACACATATGACGTTATAGTATATACGTATAAGCACAACTCACACACACTGGTTTGCTAGTTCATCTCACAATAACATTACAGTCTGATAATTATACCAAGCAAAAGAAATAACACTAAATGGGGGACTTCTGTTTATCATTTTCGTTATTGTTAAAATATACCAGAGATTTAACATAAAATCAGTCCTGTGTCTAAAAAATATTGAAAAACATGTATCTATGAACAATTTTAACTGAACGTTTAGAACATTTAACTGAATAGAATAATCAGTAAATTTTAAACATTTGCACGAATATAAATACTTAGATTACCAATATAAAAAAAACGATACTAGAATAAGTTTAACTCACTGTCTCCGCTATTCAGCTCGCTGCAACACAAGGCCAGCGTACCTGAAAGAAAAAATAATAGAAAATGAATACCTCAGATGAATATAGCATATCTTTATGCTAATAAAGAAGTAAAAATCAATCCATAAACTTCATGTGAACTGATGACCACAAAAAATGTAAGCCATATTATAGCAATTAATAAGCGATTTAAATCATTCTGTTCTTTTGAACTTAAAAAAATAAAAATAAATGAGCATATATGACAATGTAGGCGCCAGATATATTATTTGATGAGAATTGTTTACTAATCGTTGCACATACTTAAAAACGTCTGCCCTGATGCCAATTTTCGAGTCAGGAACTTGTAAATTATTTATGCTGCGACTTCACACATCCCAAACTGTATCGAATCGCACAAAAAATTTACCCACTCGTACAATATTACATGCATTATGTGTACAGTGTACACTTGTTCTGTTCCGCTCGATCAATTGTCATAGAATAATGTGTAGAACAGCTATTTTATTTAATCCAATGCCTCATTCTTACGGTGTTACACAACGAAGTATTTAATTGTTACGATATTTTTGTTACATCAAAAGTTTTTGGTCGGGTATTTTCTGAGAGGACAATCGTTGTTGCTTAGGCTTTTGTACCGCACAAGCAACTCCTGGACAAGGCGATTCGTAGCGCCAAGTGCGACACATAAGGAACTCGCAGTATTGTGTATTGTGTCCCTTACAACGCGGGCACAACGCTTATTATTATTTGCTACGTAAAGTAATAGAGCGCCACAAAGTATTAGCGAGTAACAAGTGTGGGTCATAGGTGTAATGATATCTGAATAGAATATCATTCATCTAATCCAGGAACGGCTTGTAACGCGAATGCCATACATGTGAAAGACGAACGAAATATTATTACACCATGACAATAATGGAGCTAATAAAAGAATTATTGTTACATCGATTCATCAATTTTGAGCATATACCGACGCTTCTCTCATTATTTTCGAACACTGTATGACTTTGATCAAGATGATGCAAAATAATCTCCTGATATGCCCGTGTTAAAATCCAGACTCAAATGCATCCTGAATCCTCTTTGGATCCTAATCGAGAAGTCACATCAGAAGAGCGACGTTATCCAGAAATTTAGGAACCAGATATTGTTGTGAATGAGAGACTGCAAGCTGCCAACGATGTAGTCGAGAAGCTTCGCTTCCTCGTAAAAGAGCCTACACTAGAACGGACTGATTTAATGCTTGCAAATAGAAAATCAACTACTACACGCATAGATAAAAACATTTCTCCGTAATGCCAGAGAAAATAAATTGGGTTCTTTAACAAGAAAGTCTCCCGAATCTCGGTCATCGTAAGGAATAATGAGCCACAACTCAAAGTAATGGGTAATCGAGAGGGCGAGTGCTTTAGAAGCTCTTACTCTGCCATGTAGAGCCGCTAAGAACTTCAAGGCAGTCACCACAATGGGGCTACGCAAGTCGCACTATTCATCAAACACGAAATTATTCATGGCCTCGTATCGATTGACCGAGCGCATACAGCGAGGTCTTCGAGGTGATTTTAGATTGTATTTAAAGATTGTGGTTATTTTAGATTTTAGATTGTGTATTAAGTGGTTAAACAAATTAAATTCATTGTTTATTTCGTCGAATAAAATACAACATAGCATGACAAAAATTTTAGTAGGAAAATGGCTATACAATAGAGATTAACTCCGGAAATATAATTGTTTGCCCAGAAAAGTGACATCACAACGCATTGCAGTATCATTAAACCACAGGATGGGACCTAGACATTTTCCTCTAACCCATAATAATAATCTACCTAAGAACAGTAATGGAATGATCGATATAATAAAGGGAGTCGGTAAATGGTAGATGTTGTCACGCAAAAAAACAGTTAGTCTAATAGTTATACTAACGTGAGAGACGAAGAGAAACCTTAGCTATCACACTCATTTTTAAGTTAGCATTAATAGTAATTTTCAACATTTACCAGTATTTCCAGCAATTAAGGTATGACACAAATTAACGAATTTTCACTATGGTCAATATTTTAGATAATACTCAACCAGAATCCAAACAAGAAAGGGGATTTTATTTATCATCCAATCAAAATCCAATGAAGACTCGATATTTTGTTTGACTACCGGTGCAAATACTGTCAAATCATATGAAAACATTTTTCCTGCGTAAAAAGTCTAACTCTTCCATCAATTTTTTTTTCGCAAAAAAGGGCGTGAATTAAAAAAATTAAGTTATTTATATTGATTGAATCTATACAAATCCAATTCCCAGAATACTTATTCATGATATTCGTAGTGATACACCAATAAAATTGCTAATATGCACAGAACTGGAATTATTTCCTAGTTTGGTGGGTTATATTTCAACACTGGGATAGTTAAATCTTATGGGAAATGCCCGTAGACCGATCCGTAATTGTACATGTTAATTCAGTGAGAAGCTAAGATCTCATGCGTTCATAATTCCAGTGAATTCAATAGTCAAAACACTAGGTTTCTTACATAGAAATGAAGCAGGAGTAATTTTTTGTTGTTTCACGCATTAATTTATGTTGAACGAAATTTTGTATTTCAAATGCCCGATTTGAACGTAAATTGTACCTTAAAATGTTCAGTTTTAAATTATGAGCCTCAAACACATAATTCAAACATAAATTTAGCTTTATTTGCATAAACCATACTAAATAATTTTCCTACTACTATACTATTCCTACTATTATACTATACTTTTCCTACTACTATACTACTATTATACTATGCGAAAATAATTAAATGGAAAACCTTCTCGGTCGTTTCCATTTACATCATTACGATTAGGGAGCTATAAGATCGGTGACCGCTGCCTCTTTGTTAGATTAAATCGATAGGCGTATTTGGTATGGCAAATAATTAGATCATTCGTGACGATTAATTGAGACGAAGCCAAATCAATTAGAGGGAGCATTGATCTTCGTCTACGAAGCCTTGGACTCAACACGGCACGCTTCGAAAGTTCCCTTCATTGACCGCTGCCTTAGCGCTCCTGAAAAGAGCAATCCTTTACCAATTGCGAGGCAATTCAAGCGCCCAACGCTTAATTGATTCCAAAGCAGTAAGAAACTTTGGCTTTCAACGACAAAGATCGATTCGATAAACATAAAATTTTGAGATTGCTGCGATATTCTTCGCTTTTTGGAAATTGGATGATAGAAAAAACGCTCCCACAAACTTATAAAGTGGCTTAAAATTTAGGCTGCTGTTCAAACTAGTATTTAGTTATAGTTTGAATCCGCATTGAGCGAGATAAATAAACTATTCTCGATTTTCTTCTTGTAAAATTCTCTAGCATTTGAGAAACTTTGCATACGACTCGGTTGTAAGATTTTTGTACTTTGAATTCAACATAGACGTTTAGAAAGTTACCCTGCAAAAAAATTCCTAAAATATTCAAAATTAAAGAAAAATCGTGCCCTGACAAATTAGAAAGAGTTGACAAAAACACAAGGACAAAAAATTTGAGAACTTTTTTGCGCAAGGTTGCATGTTTCGTAGCCGCAAGACAAGATAAGCAAAGGACCAGACGCGTTGAGTGCATGTTGCCATAGGCGCCTGAGCAGTATAGCTGTCACGACCATGACTACACTGCTTCGCCTCTGACACCAAAGCTGGTGAGAGCGAGACACCTCTGCCCATAAATTGCAGCCCAGGCTTTCGCAACGTCGCTGCGCTTTTCCAAACACTTTGCTAACGCTTCCACAACACTCGCGCGCGTCTCGTAAGATGGAAACAATTCCGAAATTACGTCCCAACGAAAGAACTTGGACGGTGTGCAGCTTCTCTGCAAGCCACAATGAAGGCATGAACGAGCGAAGCGGCCTGAAAACAATCCTGCATGTTTGGTTGCTAGACTAAGGTAAGCCGGAAGAGGAAGATCAGCTTTCTGTATTCGTGTACATTGAATTTTTTTTACCAAGTGCTGAAAAAAATGCATAGGCAAGTAGAGATGGTTTACCAAATACAAAAATTAAAAAAAATGTAATAATTTCTTTCAAACGGATGAAGATGCTCCTAGGAGGGATATCATCTTCTCTACAGTATTATAGGATATAAAAGAAGCTGCGTGATTAATTATCACCGAGTGGGATCAGCATGCAGATTATCATCGTGAAACAGCAACATGGAAATTAATAGTGTACTAGGGCTGTAGCAAGAGAACAGCGTGTAGAGTGCCATCGTGAGAGAGCAGAATGTGGGGGTTGTGGCAAGAGAACAAACAGCGTGTTGGGTGTAATAGTGAGTGAACAGCGTGTTGGGAATGTGGCGAAAGAATAGCGTGTAGAGTGCCATCGTGAAAGAACAGCGTGAGGGGATTGTTGCGAGAGAACAGCGTGTAGAGTGGCATATTGAAAGAACAGCATGAGGGGAATGTGGCGAGAGAACAGCGTGTAGAGTGGCATATTGAAAGAAGAGCGTGAGGGGATTGTGGTGAGAGAACAGCGTGTAGAGTGGCATATTGAAAGAACAGCATGAGGGGAATGTGGCGAGAGAACAGCGTGTAGAGTGGCATATTGAAAGAACAGCGTGAGTAGAATGTGGCGAGAGACCAGCGTGTAGAGTGGTATATTGAAAGAACAGCGTGCGGGGATTGTGGCTAGAGAACAGCGTGTAGAGTGACATGTTGAAAGAACAGCGAGAGGGGAATGTGGCGAGAGAACAGCGTGTAGAGTGGCATATTGAAAGAAGAGCGTGAGGGGAATGTGGAGAGAGAACAGCGTGTAGAGTGGCATATTGAAAGAACAGCGAGAGGGGATTGTGGCTAGAGAACAGCGTGTAGAGTGGCATATTGAAAGAACAGCGTGTTGGGAATGTGGCGTGAGAACAGCGTGTAGAGTGGCATATTGAAAGAACAGCGTGAGGGGAATGTGGCTAGAGAACAGCGTGTAGAGTGGTATATTGAAAGAACAGCGTGCGGGGATTGTGGCGAGAGAACAGCGTGTAGAGTGGCATATTGAAAGAACAGCGTGTTGGGATTG